GAGTTCAGAAGAGCAAAGGTTTGCAAGATAGCTGCCCTGATAGCAGCGGCAGCTTGTACGGTTATTCTGGTCATTGTAGTTCCCATTTGTACAATGAAATCCTGAACCTGCGGACAGACCCGTGACTCCCAGCCGTGTGTGTCTCAGATAGCTCATGCTGTGTTTCAAATGTCTGATAGCAAAACTGAAAAATTTACTAAGGAAGAATGTTCTGAGGATATCCTGATGGAGAATGCTGTAAACGTAGGCAAAACACAAAACGAATAGAGAAACATTCTTTTTGTAAAAGTGTTATTTTAAATAACAGACTGTGTGGCGGAGTTAATGGGAACTCGGTTCAATTTTTATGCATTTTTAAAAGTGCAATATTTTTTTTCCTAAAGAAACAATATAATGTTTTACAGAATCAGAGACTGATGAGAATCCAGGCAAAAGAGGAAGGTTGTCTGAGCTATGTTGCATTAATGGAGGTGTGAGTACATGGAGATAGCACTGTATAGAAGGGAATGTTCTATATGCATTACATTGGGGAGCTAGGGAAGTTTTAAAGCTCTCTACAATGTAGAAAACTCTGAATGTATTGTATTTATTTTATAGTATTTATGTATTTCATGATCATTTGATTGAAAGCAGACTGTGTAGCCATGAACAGAGTTCATTCCTATGTTCAGATTAAAAAGGGCTCTTTGTATTTGGTCTTGCCCTAAGACCCACTCTATCATCAGAGTACTTAGATAAGTGCAATGTGCTGCAGACCAAAAAAATTATGTTTTAAAGCAATCACAAGAGGTTTTAGTTGCTTCTGTTGAATAACATTTGCATTGAGCTGGCAAACTTGCCTTGCCAAAAGGGTATTCTTTACCTCCGCAGACAGTGAAATTGTCTCAATTTCACTCCTGCCAGCAGGCAAAGCTGGCAAGTCAAAGCAACACTCTGTTAACATTCTTGGAAATGTAATCTGAACAGTTATAATTTTTTCCACAAAGTCTTTGTGCCTTTTTTTAGACTGTAGATTAAATAGAACTGTTTAATTTTGCTATTTTAAGCCCATAACATAAATCACAGCATAATGGGTACTAATGGAGGTTCTTTTTCCGCAAGCCTTCTATACAGTTCAGAGTGCTCCTCAAACAGCAGGGCTGGTGGTTACTGAGCACTTATATTAAGGGCACAGTTTTTCAGCACCAGTGGAAACTTGCTGTTAATGCAATGCATTCGGCACAGGGAGATCTTTTGCTTCCCCCTTGCTAACATACTTAAGACTGATGGTTGACTCTACCGGACAGCAAGCAGTCTGTGTCCCATGGGAAACGTCCATTTGATGCTTTATCCCGAATGCAAATAGCAGGTTCAAAGGAATTCTCAAGTTATGACAGAAATTACCTGCCATGGTTAGTGAAAGCAAATACCCAGACAGTATTACTCCTCTGTGAAGTATAGATGGAAAAGAAAAAAGAGTAAAAAAGAGACAAAATATTTTCAGGAAATAATATGATACTGCTGGTCCTCAAAGGGAATGGAGATTCTTTTAGTGAATGCTCTTTATGTAGGGTAATTTGGTTTCTTCAGAAGCAGCCTCCCTACATGATGACACAGCAGCTAGGAAAGCACTGGATGCTTCTTCCTCTCGCTCTCTGGGATGTGCCACACTTGCTGTTTGTTTCTGGGTGGTTTAAAAAAAGTAGTGAGGAAAGGGTGTGTGGGAGGTAAAGGCTTTGTTGTGACTTCAGATGTGTGTCAGTTCTTTCCTGCAGCTGGAGAGCTGTTTATGTGCTGCTCATGTGCTGTATTTTATTTAGGCATAGGTGGTCCCTGGGACCGTTGATCTACTGGAAAAAAAAACAAGTGTAAGCACAGGGTCGGGTGTCCCATCAGCAAATACAGAACAAGGATAAGCCCCTACACTAAAATCTGAGCCTGCCTGGCCTGAATCCTGACCCAAATTCTGTAGCTTTGGCCCATTCCTAATACAAAGATTATTTCTCTTTCCTCCCAGATGCTGCAGGATGGAGTCACAGCAGGGAGGAAGCAATTCACACTGTCTATTTTGGGCTGCCTTTGGTTATGGTATGATTCAAAGCACCCGAGTTTAGGAGCTCAGGATCTGTATGTAGTAAATATAGACAGGTAGAGAAACCCCTGGGGACGATTTGGAGCCGCCAGCAAGATATCTAATATTAGACATGTGAATACGCTCTGGAGGGCATTGCTCTGCAGTTTACCTTATGCACAATTTAGGTTGATTGTATATGTAAAAAAATCTATTCCTGGTTCCAAGTAATGTCAGAAAGCCCTTTTAGACCCCTCCTTGGTCCCAGCGATAGCAGGCACGAGGTGCTGTCAGAAAGAGCAGCGTGGCCCTGCAGTGGCACAGTGTCAGTCCCCATCTGCCCGCACCAGTGGTGATGGGTCCCTCTCAGGAGCAGGGTGAGTGTGGGATGGACACCAGGCAGAACCCCCACCTTTGCCAGCCCCTCCCTCTGCTAGCACAAGCAGTCTGATCCTGCTGTCCCCCCAACCCGAAATCAGTGGCACTTCCTCCGTTGCATCTCAGTAATCTAATTTTAGAAAATATCTAAGAGGAGATGTGAGAAGCGTGCAGGAGATGTTATTGATTACAGGGACAGACTGGGGCTGTGCTTGCACTGGTGCATTAGAGGAGATGTAAGGACCCCTGTTTTGTCTGTATGGGGATTTTTTTTTTTTTTTGGTCTGTGCAAGACACTTCCAGCTAGCACCGGATGAGTCTTTGCATTAGAGATGCCCAAAATCCTAGGAAGGATATGGCAGCTTATGGAGCTATGGGTGACGTGGAGCTGGCCCAATCCAAGCACTCAGCATCCCAAGCATCCATGTCGCTCCTAATTTATCGAGGTGCTTTTGCCCATCCTTACTTTGCACAAGCAACCAGTGGTACGCCCCTCCATCAGGGCAGTGGTTCCCCTACGTGCCAGATCGTGGTTTGTCACAGATTTCCCTTTTGGGGCTTGATTCAGCTCCTGGAACCTCTGGGAGCATCTCCACGGTGCCGGGAGCCCGAGGGGAGCGGGGGAAGCAGAGCATGGCTCCCTGCCTCCCTGCTCCGCAAATACCTCCGGGAGCCGCTGCCTCGCCATCTCCTCTGCTCGCCGGCTGCCTCCGGCAGCTCCTCGGCACCACTGGGATGTGCACCCCTAGCCGTTCCCAGTGGGTTTTACATCTGGCACAGAGCTTTTCGCTTAAAATAGGTAAAGAGATGGAGCGGTGGGATGCTGCCGCCGGAGGAGAGCAGCCTGGGAAGGAGGGACCCTGCGGTTCTGTGCAGAATATACAAGCTAGGTGAAATCCTGACAGTATTAACCTGCAAGAATATTGTGATCAACCTTGTGAACCAGTTACCAACTAGAATATACTGTATACTATATGATAGACTTTTGTATAAAAAAAAAATAAACAAATTAAAGCTATAGGTACATTGTAATCCTTGGTGTGATTGAAAAAAGTGTCCTAGATTGTATTACTTAATTAAAATAATGATGAGCATATTGAACTGTTTTTCGTATTTATGCCTTATAAACTTGATATATTACACATGATAAAATGAAACTGCAAGAATTATAAAAAAGATACTCCATTTTGGGGGCAAATCCCATTTGCTTTTTCTAAAACAAGAGTGCTGCTTGAAATGATCTCAATAAATCATATGTGCAGAAGAGCAAGAGCAGGATCTGTCCCCAAATGTCTTTTTAGGAGTTTGTTTTTTTTTTTTTTTTTTTAAATGGGGCTTTGGTTAATGTACTATGTAATAATTTTATTTTATAAAGTTACTGTACAATGTTGCCTTTTGGTTCATTTAAATATAATATCAAATAAACTTGAAAATTACAGTGTCCTAAGTTTTAATGAAACAGTTACAATAATTTATTACTCCATTGCTTTTCCTCTCTTTTTTTTTTTTTTTTTTTTTCCCAGGGACATCAAGATAACCATGGGATGCGAGTGTCTCAGTGTTAGATAACTAAGCAGCCTATCTAGTTCTTGGCAGAATTGCTAATGGATTTCTCACTTGTGAAATAATAAGATGGCAGAAGATAATGAAAAATGAGTTTGTTGGGTTTCTTTTTAAAGCTCCTTTGGATCACATTGTCAGGGCTTCTGGGAGATTAGCTCTTGACACTAATCACAATATATCATTTTATAGGTTATTTCATGACTGAGTTTTTCCATATCAACTGTTTTCACATGGTCATGACTAATATTTTTGGTATCTGTTTCACTAACCTGTTTATGCAACTTCTGTTCCTTTTAAGTCAGTACTATTGACAACTATTTAGTCACCTATCAACAGGCAATCAGTTTGCTTAGGATCTCTATATGAATCTAATCTGCTGCTTTTGACTTGTCAATTGCAAAACCAGGTTGTCTTAAGATTCCAGGTGTTGAAACAAAGATAGAGCTGAGCCTGCCGTTGAAGGTAATCCAGCACCAGAGGTTGCAAAGGGCGGCCACGGGAAAGAGGACGTATATAAATAATGAACAATGACATGAAAACAGTAATATAAGATCTTGATTTCCTCATCTGCGTATGCACCTTCGATGCATTGCTTTAGCAAACCTGGTCAGGATGGGGGAGTGTTGAGTGCTCTCTGCAGGGCTGGGCCACCAGCTCCAGTCTCAGGTGCTCATCTGTCATGAGTCAGGCTGCAAACCGTCACTGGTCCCCTTGGGAGGGACTGTGATTCACAATTTGGCATTTGTTTCAGTTTTGGAGATGGTAGCATGGATTTGCATCGATTTCAGGTTTTTCTCTTGTACCAGTCAAGTTTACAAGCTTACAAGTAGAACTAGCCTCTGGATTTTTACATTACAGCATGAATCCAGGAGCAGGAACTTTCATAAAAATGCTGAGTGCAGCCAGTCTCCTGTCAAAAAATCGTAAGCACTCTGGCACAGCATTCTTCAGCCAAGAAGCTGGATATGTAGGATACATAGACCTCATCTGGGTCATTACTGTGCTGGAAGATGGGGAAGCTGCCAGGTTTCTACAGTAGCTGCTGGATAGAGTCACTGAGTCTCAAGGCAGAAGAAAGCTCCTACATGTGATGCTGTATTGGCAATCAAGACCCAGCCCCATGATGTCTGTGCTGCTTTGAATGTATTGCTCACAACAATCAATTATACTGGTTGAATAAATTCTTTATTTCAGATTTAGCTCTGATGAATGGCTCTGTCTGATGCACAAAAGAGTCACAAGCAAAATACTGGATCTCGGGGCCATATTCTGCCCTCTGAGGTGCTCTTGTGACTCCATCCCATTGAATCTGCTTGTGGAAGGAGAGAAAGGAGCCAGTAACCTGCCCATAGGAGCGTGGTCCTATTAGAAAGAAAGGTCAGTTGTGTTGCTGTGCACTTTGGGAAAAAGCAAGCACCTGTGGAAGTAATTATGAAGATGAGGTATTTTATTTAATCTTATTTTTTCTTTGTTATCTTTTCAGGAAAGAGCACTATGTCTTGTAAAGTGCTGCTCTGCTAATAGTTCTTCAGCAAGCCTGGTCACTTCGTATTACTTCTGAGACCACGAACCACTCAATATCTTGCAGGCTGTTATATAAATCTATGACATTCACTTAGAAACTGGAGCAAAATCTTCAAAAAAGGAAGAAGTGGGCTGCCAGTAGCCAAACTCCTCCCATAAGTAAGTTGCGTTTGGTTTTATATATTTTCTGCAACATAGCACAAAGTACGTGTAGGAGAGCTGTGAAGCTCTTCCAAAAGCAACAGCACATCTAATCCTTCCGAAGAGCAATAGACTGAGATTTTTCAAGGAAGGCTGGTTAATGGTCCTGGATGAGCCCAACACAACAAAGCAACTGTGCTTGGTGTGTGTGTGGTACCACCAGGCATCGCTGGTCCCGGTGGAGCAGCAGTGGACGTGGGGAGGAGATGTTCAAAACGTTCTGCTGGATGAGGGAAATTTTCCACAAGACTTAATACAGTATAAGGTTGGGGAAATGGAGGGTGTCTGGAGACATAGTTGCTGCTGAGGCTGGAGACTTTTAGAAATGAAGAGCTTTGTGGCAGAAATTACCCACCCCCCAATCCTGCTTCTCCCTGCCCTCCTGCACCCTGGATCTGTGGATTTTGGGATATTCCTCTGAGGCACTAAGCAGGTCTCTGGACATGCACTGCAGGCTCAGATCTTGCTGTTTTTCAAACCAGTTTTCCTCAGTAAATAGAGGGAATTTTCTGCCAGATACTGATGCTTTGGCCTTAGCTAAGAAAACCCCCTGAGGTCTGAGATCTCCTTATCCCACTGGTGGGGTTGACAGCACTTAAAGAAATGTGGCCTGGTCCTTCCTCTCACCCATTCCCAAAACATTATGAGACCACCCTGGAAATGTCAGGGTTACGAAGATGACTCCCATTTGCTTTGGTGTTGGGCTTTGTAGCAGTTGCATTTCCAGTCCAGTCTCTGCAGCCAGAGAGTTGAAAACTGATCTCATTTATTAAGGATGAAAATAAACGAGTGAACTCTTCAGGCAAGAACGTGCAGTTCTAATTACTGATGCTTTAAGAAAAACATCAAATCCTGCTATTCACAATAAAATTGCCCTTTTTTTCTGCGCTTATTTTGAGCCTGTATGTGGTGTGCTATCTGAATGTTGTCCCCCAGCACGTGGTGGGGCTCCAGCCCATGTCCACAACAGCGGGTGTCCCCTCTGGAAGAGGGGAAAAGGAAATTATATAAGGTAAAACAACCCTACCTGGGAGAGGGACTAGAGAAATGCTAATTATTCTCCTTGGCCCTGGAAAATACGGGGAGTCTGGTCCCTGTTGAAAAGCTTTGTTGTAAACTCTGCTCTAGTGACAGACAAATCTCTGCTTGTATTGAAAAATTCTCATGATCTGCCATCCTGCCAGGCTGACACACTTACTGCAATAAAAAATATGTGTTGTGCTGTATGTTTTCCCCCAAGTAATGGTGGGGGGAGAGGGGAAAACCAAGGAGGTTGAGTCATTTGTCTTCTTTTCTTGTCTTGGTAATGAAATACTGCTGTTGAACTTTACCCTGTCTTTCCTGTTACTATTTTTTTTTTTTCCAATGGTTACCTTTTAAGAGGCTGGTAAAACTGCATTACTAAAATTTATGACTGTGTAGCAAATATGTGCACATGCATTAATTCTGTTCAAGGCCAACGTTTTGTAGCTGCAAAATTAATGTTATGGTGCTTTTTCTAGTATGGCTAATGGCTGTTCAATAAAGCAGGGATCATGCTTTGCTCACCTTATGCACTTAATTCCTTGAAACAGCCCTGTTTTGAAGAGTTTGCCAGGTAAGGGTTAAAAAAGGGTACACAAACAACACACAGATAAGTATTTTTATACATTTTTGTTTATGCAATTAGAGCCTTGAAAGTCTTGGTCTTGTGAGTTGGCTCAGTTGGGTTTCAGATCCTTTGCATGGCATTTAGTTCAAAGGTTCAGAAACAAATGTGTCTGAATGCAGTGGATTAAAAATGTGCCTCTTAACCATGACTCTGGTCTGGAGAGGCTGAACTGGATGTTAGTATTACCCTGTGAGTTATACCCCATGCTGTTTCAAAGTGAGTGAACAGTAACAATTCTGTAAAAGATAAATTAATTGACATTATCTACATTTAGACTTAGATTTTCTTGCTACGCAAAAGTCACTTTTTGCTAGAAGGGTGTATTAGTATTAGTAGCCTTTTTACCAATTGAAAGAGAGTTTCTAATTTTTTATTCCAGGTTGAAGACAGATATAATAGCATAAAGCAAATAACCGGTGATGCAGGCTTGCTTGTGTGCTGGTTGAAGAGAAGAGGTTTGAGGAATATTTTCAGGGTGCTGAGACAGGAATTTAGATGGTGCCTGACAGCACTTGTCATCTTTTTCAAAGCTTTGTCTGACAGGCAGAAGAAAACTCAGTGCTCGTGATCTTGTATGATAGCCTGGTGTTTGGGATATGGTTTGTGCAAGATCATTGCTGTTAGAGGTACAAACCTGATCACTTGGGACTCAAAAGGAAAGTATGAAGTGTTGAGCAGCTGAGCTGTACTGGAGCTCCAGGGCAGGCAAATGTCTGGTGGTTAAGTGCAAGTTACACTACACATGAGCCCACTGGTCCCACAAAGTGGGCTCCAACCACAGTGGACACTGGGCTCATGTCAAGTGATAGCTTGGCAAAGTGGTCGGTGATGGCAGCCTGCAAAGATCTGATGGAGGGCAAAAATATCCATTTACATATGGGAGCATCTATGCTGTCTTAGCTGCTAGGAGCCAGAGTCTTTTGGGGGATCAGTGATGCTTTTTTCTTTCTGCTGGAAGACACGAGCTGACAAAAGTAAGGCATCCCTGGGATGGAGAAACCAGTGCAGGGGGAAAGGTAATCCCATGTGAAATCTCTCAAGGCAGTACTGTATGTCTTTCATGTTTTGGGACCAGTTGCTTGATCTCTGTCAGCTTTACTTTCGTGCCAGTTATTCACCATGCCTTTCTTCAGGCTTTTTCCTGGAACAGAGCTTTTCCCTTGCCATGTGGTCGTGAGGTGCCCTGGAAAAGAGGGACCAGACACAGGCTGAGATATCTTACAAGTGTCATCTTGGTGCTTATAATGGCATTACCAGTATCATAAATAGTTACAGACAGATCAGTTATCAGATCTGTAACTCTGGTGGTAATCAGCAATACAACACCTGGGAGGTAACTGGCTCGGCTTGTCAATGTATTTTAGTGTTGTGAGAATGATGAATGTCACTGGGAAAGGTTCTGGGGAAGGATAAGAGGAGAGGAAAACAGGGGAAGCACGATGCTCTGCTGGGATCGCGGCGTGGGGAGAGTGGGATTAGTGCTGTGGTAGATGGGCAGACGGCAAGCATCTGCTCTGGGCCACCAGGATCAGAGCACAGCAAGAATGAAAAATTCTTGGACCAGTTATCAAGGAATTGGGAAACTCCAGGATACTGTACTCATGGGGAATTTTTACTACCCAGACATCTGCTGGGTAACAAATGCAGCTAATCATGGCGATAATGTACAACCCTAATTCACTATAAATTCTCTCCCATATGTTTAGAAATGTATTTACAATATGAAGTGAGGGATAGTTATTCATGAATCAAGGTGAACCGAGTTGCTGCTGCAGAGTCAGCCATATATTGTAGAAAATAACGTATGACAGACTTGGACAGAATCCCTCTGAAAACATGGCTGTATTTCAGGTATTTTAAGTGAAAAATGTTACTGTAATTACTGATTACTTTTAAATGCACCAATTGAACTCCTCATTTCTCAGTAACCTTTGCTGACCTTGAAGCACGAGTTCATAAGCAGAGTTGATGAAGAATTATCTGCCAGATGAAATACGCCTCCTCGAATTAAATTCTGCTGATGAGGAGGTTGAAAAGGGTTAAGAGAAAAATAAGAAAGGAACTGTGAGAATGGCTGCTTAGCTCACTAGTAGCACACAAAAGGATGTTGTTTTATTGATGTACTTCTATGGCCTTTCTTCAGTTGCAGGCAATAATTTTGCCATCTAACTCACCATGGACTCAGAAGAGCACTGTGAGCTCAAATATATCTAATATTGAGGCGGTAAGGAGGTGTCCCAGTCACCAGAGTTCAGGGCTGAGCACAGTTAGTTACTGATGAATTATGGTGCCTTTTCCTCCCCTTCAGCAATTCCTTGCTCCCTGGTTGTGCTTGCCCCTGCGCTGCCTCATCGTTGGCATGGGTCTATTCTGATAAGGACGCTGTACACTGATGCCTGGCTTCGGCCAGTCAGGGCCTGAGGATTTGCGTAATGACATTACTTCTTAATCCTTAATTGCAATCTTTGAATATGCAGATCTGTTGATGCTGGTTACTGTAATCTCCCTGCCCTGGCTGGTCCCCAGCTGGGGAAATCTTTGAGTCATTTGCTGGCAACAAACGGTTTTCCTTTTGGTTTCTCATTTCCAGCTGTGACTGAAAGGGATAACCCCTTGGTCAGCTACTTGAAATAGAGGGAGAGAAAAAAGCAGAGAGGGTTACAAAAGTCAGAAAAAAATGAATATCTTTTTAAAAAGAGCTTAAATGCCTTTTCTCCTGTTATTTTCCTTGCAAGAGCTCACGTTCATGCTGCTGGTGAGAGATGAGATGTTCAGCTTGCTCCATCCCACCCAGTGCAGCAGGGTTTTGTCCTTGCAGTAACTGTCCCCCATTTCTGTCTGCCCTGGCTGCTTCCCACTTGAAATCTGGTTTCAGAGCGAAAGAGCTGAGATAACAACCAGTAGTTTTGAAGCAGACGGTCTGTGCGCTGCTCTTGGTGGTCTGCTGACTCTGGTGAAGCCAGGTCAGTGTAAGGCAGGAGGAGGGGTTCAGCAGAGGACTTGCTTGCTTGGGTGGAGGGATGGGGAAACCTCAGCTCACAGCACCTGAGCATGGGGGCTTGGGATTACCTGTCCCAGCTCGGTTGTTACTTTGAACAAAAGGAGGATTGGTGAATCGCAGAGTATTTTAACATGCTGAGCTGTTTATACATGTCTAGAGCAGGAGCTCTTCTTATTAAAACATTGATTGATTAACCTTTCTTACTTCTACTTCCAATATTTTTCTAATAGTATTTTCAGTATTGTTATTTTCCCCCTGTAGCTTTCCAAAGAAGTAGAGAGAGAGAGGGAGTGAGCAACTGCTTTATTTTCTGGAAGAAATAGGTAAAACAGGAAAACCAATACCTTCTCAATGGCAAGGGTGAAATCCTGGCGCCACTGAAGTGCAACTTCCCAGGACTTCTGAAGAGGCAGTATTTCACCCAAAATGCCCTGTGGGGCACCTGCACTCTCTGTCATGACATGCATTCGGTCTGCAGAGACTGTCCTCAGATCCAGCTGCCAGTTATCATACTATTTCCTTACAGCTTCAGCCCTCTCTGCTAACACTGCATGGTCTTGTGGCACCCATGATAGCTCATATTATTATTCTTCCCTCAGCCGTGGACCTGCTAACTGCATCTGCACAAGCAGCATTTGTTGAGAAAACCAGTTATTTTGCATCTGAGTTGATAATGATGCCATGAGAATGTCACTGCAGCATGTCAAAATGTCCAGGGAGTGGGGTATCTAGATGGATGTGAAAGAAACACTTTTGCCTATGCATGGGAGCATGTCTCATGCTGTTATGTGTTAATGGATATAATTTATTTCAGAAAAAAGAAGAAGAAATCCCAGAAAAATGTAGAACCAACGATTTACAGGAAACAACACTGATTGGAATATAAATACAGACAAGCAGCATGTTTATTGCTGATGGTGCTATGTTCTCTGGGATAATAGAGCCATTTTGTAACTATTTTTCTGAGTTGAGAGTTTGCACACGTTTTGTCTCAAAGTTTTTCATTTCTAATGAGGTTTCCTGACCTGTATATATATTTCTCAGATCAACAAAAATGGTTTGATATCAATTTGTAAAAGGCTTAATTGTAATGTATTAGTACGTTCTGTTCCCACATAAGTTTCTTCTGTTCTTATGATCTTCCCCAGTACTCCTTTATTAGCCAGCTGTGGGGAAAGATACCTGTAAATAAAGACATATTTTGTATTGGGGCCCACTACTGAAAATGTCCTGAGTGTTTCTGAGCTCTGCTTTCATGCTACAGTTGGAAAAAGCCTGTCATGCACCTTTCCTGGAAGTTTATTATGAACTGAAACACTTGGAAAGCAACTGTTTTTCACGTGGTTTTGATCCTTTAAGTGACTAATATTTTTGGGGGTGTTCGTCTTACTTTCACTGTAGGCATTTCTGCTGTAGCATAGAAGTAATGAAAAAAATAACTGGAGAGTGAGATTTTAATCTTATTCTGTGATAAAGTAGTACACAAGATGTATTTTTCACTATGTACAAATGAACTGTATCTTTTTTAGGTGAATTGGAATCATGGAAGGGAAAGAACATCCTTAGAATTGAAGAGCTATGTTTCGGGCAAGTAAAGGACAGCATTGCATGTATTATTTTATCATCATATATCTCTAATGTGGAATAATTCCTCTACAAACCTTTAGGAATAAGAGGGTAATCTAGTGACTGGTTTTCTTCAGTGTTGCCTTGTCTGCTGAGACCAAGGGAGGGACATGAATTTATCATGTTGATATTTGCAGGAAGCTGAGGTGATATCGCCAGGACTCTTCAAGCATCTGAAGTGCCAAGGCTACAGGAATCAACTCTTTGTATTTCAGAAATGGTGCAGATAAGATACAACCATTCAGAAACACTTCAAAGAAAGCACATGCTGCCATTTTTTGTGTTGCGGAGCAACATGGCAATGTAGAAGGAAGAACCAGTCCAGTAAAGGCCAGGACTTGATAGATGTCACTTCGTGGTCAAAGTGTCCCTCCTCTCAAGTCTTGTCCCGAACCAGCTTCCTTGTAGTCAAAAGTAGTAGTCACTGTGAGACTTGAAATGCATTAATCAAGAGAAATATTTCCCTACACACTGTCAGTCTATGAAGCTGTCCAGCCTTCCTGTCTGATTTGTATTACCTTTTCTACTCCTATCAGTTTGCCATAGGTTGTAAGTGGTAGAAGTTAATAAAATTCTTCAAGAATAAATTCTACTGCAATGGTTCATTTTACTTAAATACGTGATCAGATGAAATGCAGCTTCTAAAGAACCCTTTAGAACAAGAGCAAGATCTGGCAACTTATTAGATGCCCTCAATGACTGTAGTCTTACCGGAGACTTTGATCAAAGCTTCCTTCATCTCTTTCATGCTGCTTACAAAATTACTCTTTGTAAAAATGTAGTGTATGACTTACTTTAACCAAGGAAAGACAAATTCATTCTGAAAGCAGGAGATGACCAATCTCTGGGCTCGAGTCATGTGTAGATCCTGAATGATTTTGGAGCAGCCTCTGTGGAGAGGATAAGCCAAGTGACTGACATCAGGGCCACACCAGAGAACATTGTTGTGCTAGTTATCGACCATAATGAAGTGGAAAGGTGACCTTCTGCAGTCCAGTTTCATTATTTCAGAATTGGAGATGAACTTTCCCCAAAATTGTATGGTATAATGGGTATCTCTGCGCTAACCTTCCCACCAGTTCTGTCTGCACACCTACATTTTAAGCCATCTGGAAGCTCTCACAGGCCATGAGCCATACCTTGAAGCAGGAAAGCCTTCTCTGGGGGAGCTGTGGTGGTTACTGAAGGAATTCATCCCTTATTTAGTCCACAAGAGACAATTCCCATCACTGCTGAACTGCAGGTACTGCTCAGTTGCCATTCTGCAACTGCTGTGCTACACTGCAGTATTTCAGGAGGAAAAGTGGGGAATGACTTTTCCATTTGAAGCCATATGAAGGGATTCAGCCAGACAGCATGTAATTACCCTAGCTGGAGCTGGGCCAAGGGAGAGGATCTGTGGCTCCCCATCTGCAGGCTTATTTTCAGCACTTCAAATGAGAAATCGCAAGGAACACTTAAAAATTAATGAAACAAACTCAGTTTCAGTCTGGACATCTCCTCCATCATGCCCACATCAGAGACAAATAACTCACCAATATGGTGTACCCTGGACTACCCTTCAAAGGCTCAGCTTGCAAGCCCAAATGAAAGAGCAGCTGGAGGCAAGGAGCCTTTCCCATTCATTCAGGTGAGTTGTGAAGTGGGTAATGAAAATGCTATTGTTTCCCAACACTGGCAAAATAGGTTATTCAGCCAAATAAATTCTGCCTGTGACTCTTCCTCTTACAATAGAAACTGTGGCCCTAATCCAGTAAAGCACTTTAGTATGTGCTTAACTGGAAATTTGTGAGCAGCCCTGCTGATTGCAAAGGATCAGTTCTCATGCTTAAAGTTAAATATGAGGAGTGGGAGCTGCTGGGTGGGTGGATGAGCGGTGCGATTGCCCAGGGCCCTGCCTCATTATCTATGATTATATAGGTTTAGCATTTGGCTGGATCTGGGCCTGTTTGAATAAAGAAGCAGGATTAGCAGGCGTGCAAATAGGGAGCAAAACCAGGGGGTTCCAGCAGTGTCAAACACAACTTTGTTACTCTGACAGAATGTATAAAAGTGAATGAAAAGGTTGTATGATTGCTGTTGCATCCTGATAATTAGGCTGAACTCATGCTTCGTTAGTGCTACAATATGCTTCCATCTTAACAAAGTGCTATTGGGTGTATGGAGCCACTTTACTATTAGTAAAATGAAACCTTATCAGAAAGCCCTGTAATTCATTTTGTAAGACAAGTCATGACATATATTATGTTGAAATTGCACTGAAGAGACAGATTACTTGCTTAACACTTGCTTTTCCTAATGAACAGGAAAAGATGTTTTCAAAACTAAGTTGTTTATTATATTGGGAGCTCTTCTGACCTCGTGCCTAATTATATTGCATAGTCCTTTAGTGGTGTTTCAAATAGTTCCTAAATAACACAAATTGGACCAAGCTGCTTTTGCTCTTGCACATTCTCTCAGTGACTTTGTGAAAATACTGTCAAGCATTAAAATCCCTGTTCCTTGCTGTCATTGTTGGGAAAAGAGTTTTGTGTATAACCAGTACAATACCCCTGCAGCAGGAATGCAGCAAAAGTACTAGCACAACCCACATTCTCACATCCCCTGCTTGCAGCAATAGATAGCTGTACTGATTAAGCAGTATAGTGAAAACTTGACACAGAAGCAAGAAATGATGTGTACTGGCTCCTTCACTGCCCCCAAGTAAACACTGCACTCCCTCGATACTGCCGTATTGTGGGCAGAGTGTGTTATTTGTATGTAGTACTGTTATGATAGATGCTGACCTGGCAATGATTTTTCTGTAGACTCACTGTGCTGGAAAGGGAATATGGATGACATCAGGGCACGGGTCCACATTAGCCTGAACTGCAGAGCTGATTTAAGTTAGTCCTGCCCTACCAGATATCCCCACTTTCTTAGTGATGTCTGTGGGTTTCTGTGGCTGCCTTCGAAACCAGATTTCTGTAGATTAGAATACATTAGGACTAACACCAAAAAAAAAAAAAAAATCCCAGAGTTTTGCTGAATTTGGTTGTTTGACCCATCCATCTAATGTAGAATACTTTGGTGGTTTTGGCTGGGATAGAGTTAGTTTTCTTCATAGTAGGTAGTATGGGGATATGTTTTGGATTTGTGCTGAAAACAGTGTTGGTAATACAGGGATGTTTTAGTTACTGCTGAGCAGTGCTGACACAAAGTCAAGGCCTTTTCTGTTTCTCACACCACCCTACCAACGAGGAGGCTGGGGGTGCATGAGAAGTTGGGAGGGGACACAGCCAGGACAGCTGGCCCCAACTGATCAAAGGGATATCCCAGACCATATGATGTCTTGCTCAGCACATAAATCTGGGGTAAGAACAAGGAAGGGGGGGTCATTCAAAGTGATGTCATTTGTCTTCCCAAGTACCCGTTACGTGTGATGGAGCCTGGCTGTCCTGGAGATGGTTGAGCACCGCCTGCCGATGGGAAGGGGTGAACGAATCCCTTGTTTTCCTTTGCTTGCATGCATGGCTTTTGCTCTGACTATTGAACTATCTTTAGCTCAACCCACAGGTTTTCTCACTTTTGCCTTTCCAGTTCTGTCCCCCATCCCACCCAGGGGACTGACTGTGTGGGGTTTAGTTGCTGGCAGGGGTTAAAGCACAACACATACAGCAGCTCTCCACGGGGTGGGCGGCACCACGGCAGTAATTGGTCATGGGTGGAGAGAGAAAGAACAAATGGGTGAGAAAGTGGATGTAGGGAGGAGCAACTTTAATAGATCTACCACCGAGGGTACAAAAATTAGTTGTTCACAAAGGTATGAATTTGGAGCAGAATAATTTCCCAATCTGTGTAACTAATTGTTAGGGATGTGGGGGCAGGTTGTGTTTTGTGCTCCAGTGATTGTCTCATGCAATGATTCTCTCTTCTACAGGCTGAAGTCAGATGGGAAATGTTGGCTTCATTTCAGTACAGCAGGACGAATACCATGATGCTCCACCATCTTCCTCAGCAGGGTCTTGTTTCATCCATCCCTTCTGGGACCGTCAGTGGCAGCTTTGCCCTCTGCCATAGCCGAAAGCAGCCGTGTCCAGCAGAGTGGGTCACGCATGGTGGAGTTAGATTCAACTCCATCCTAGCTCTCAGCTCTTCCTACCTGAATGATCTGGATTTGCTATTACTGGTGATAGGCTCAGGGAAGGGAAGTGTGTAGGAACATCTTTTTATTTTTGTGTTTTCTCCTTGTACCATTATTTAGCCTTACTGTAAACATCCATGCTTACTCATGTATTCCTACAGCAGATGTAAAAATATCTCCCTCCCTCCATTTCCAATGCTGTATCTTGCAGACCTGAAATGACCCTGTATGAGAGGGTCATGACAGCACAGTCTAATGGAGAAGAAAAATGGCAATGAGGTAATGTAGCAAAAGCAACTGTCTGAAAGAGCTGCTCACCAATTGTGTTTGCTCTTGCAATTCAGGCTACTTGTATTGTCATCCAGCTCCAGGGCTGAAGGGCTTTTATTGGTGCAACCCTGTGAAATCCATGGATTTTATCCCAGGATGGCTGCAGTGAGTGCTGTGGATGATGGGCGCAGTCTCACGTTCACGTGCCAGCTGCACCAGCCCTGTGAGCCCAGAGGAGCTGTGCTCATTCACACCAATGAGCACCATGATATGAAATTTATAACAATGACAATTGGGAACCAGAGGTGGTTTTGTGGAAGGATTGTTACTTACTGCTTAAATAGAAATATCTTATTCTTACAGGCATGGAAAATGCGGCACTACAGTAAATCTGGGCAGATCCTGTAAGATTTTGTTCCAAGATGGAATAATGCCTTTCTTGATGCCTTAGGGCCACCATCACCATAAGCCACAGTTGTTTGTTTTCATCAGGTTCATCTGAATCTGGATCAGATCCCTTGCTCTGCTTTGCCATGCGTGAGCTGAAACAAAGTGATGGGACAGGACGAAGCAATGCGGGACAGGAATGGCTGTTTTGGTGGCAGAGCCAGCTTACATTGATTTAAAGTGATCACAGTACTGTCATACAAGATAGGCAATTGCTCATGTTCTTCACTGCTTCTGGTCAAGGACACACCTACAACTATTTGGTTGCTTAACCAAGTGGTTTCCTAAGCTCATTTTTGTATAGGTTACCCATGTAACCAACAGTGAATAAAGAAAACTGGTGTGTCAAATAGCAAGAAATTGTAACTGGCAACTGCCAATTGTAGTTTTTAGCATATATAGGCCATAAGAGCTTCTAATTTTCCATTCCTCTGGTTAGGTTTTTAAATGTAATGATGAAATAAATGACCCATTATCAATGCGTTCCCACAGAATAACTTCAACAACAGTACAAGATGCAATCCACTTGCAAATGTCTAATCCAGTTATTCTGTGGGTTTTTTTAGATAGCCTTCCTGAGGTGAAATAACAATTTTTAAAAAGTGGATGGTCAAAATTTAACATGTTGAGGAGCAGAGGTTCCCCTCCTACTTCCCTGTGCTTGTGAACTGAGTTTGCAGGGATGGTGGGTGTCATGCGGTACTTGGGTATAGTTTGCTTCACCTGTCATATGCCTTAACTTACCATAGTGTTTTGCATTTGGGTCAGCTGTATTTTTATCAAGCATTAACATGCATAAGGGTTTGCCAGTACTTAATAAAAATGCTACAGAAAACTGCATTCTTCCACCTCTTTATTGAAGCAGATTATATTGTGTTTGAACTGTGTTTGAACTGAAGGTACACTCATGTGAAAACTGTTATGTTCATAACACACACCCAAGCAATAACAAAGAGCTCAGTTAATGAAAATCACTCAAAGGAAATCACTGCCCACCCTTTCCAAGATCAATTAGAAAGATTATTCCAGCATCCCTAATGCTGACATGCTGCTGTTATACTGTAAAGCACCTCTTCCCTTTAGAAGGTTAAGGTAGGGAGTCTGACAATAATGTGTAATAAACACTGCTGGGAGAAAAGCATTTACATTCCTACAGCAAAGGACAACACTTGGACAGCGTAAATATATGAGGTCTCCCTGTGAGGCTTACATTCAAATGAACACAAGAACAGAAGGTTTGGGACCAAAAGCTATTGCCCAAAGCTGGTTTGGAGAGTTTGAACCACCTTTTCAGAAAAAGCCTGGCAAAATTCTTTCCCAGGGACTTTTCGTCTTTGGAGGACACCTCAGCATGGCTTCCTAATGCTCAGTAGATCAAGGATCAGCTGGAAGATGACTATTCCTCCAAATAGAGAAAAAAATATCCTTTCTGGCAGTACACCGTCAAATTTAGATGCTGTAACACCACAACAGACAAAGTAGCTGCCAGAGAAGAAATACTATGTGTAGAGTGGGGAATGCAAAATTTTGTTGCGTGGCTATAAGCACGGCAATGTGGGCAAGTCCTCAGCTGCGGGGGCATGATGATGCTCCACTGGCTTCAGAGATGTACAGCAATTTATACCAGCTGAGAGTTTGACTTTGTTGTGAATATTCCAATTTCTAAATGTGTTTGTTCTCCTCCCCTTTTTTCTCTCCTCTGGTGTCTCTGTTGATAGCAACAGGTTTCTCAGGGATTTATTTTTCCTACTGCTTCAGAGGGTGGGCCTGAGCTTTAATGATGCAGAGCTGAACGCTGGAGTTTCTTAATAATTGGCAAAGGTCTTAAAAACTGAGACTCTAGTATTTATTGATAATGAGAAACTGTCAGAACCACTTTGAATATTTGTCTGGTACTAATTGTTCTGCGAAAAATAGCCCGTTTTTTAACAATATGAAAAACTAGTATTACCAAAACATTACTTCTCATTGCAAAAAAAAAAATGCACCAATCCTTCAAACAGCATTAAAGATATAATTCATTGACTTATGCAAATGAAAAATGTTCATAATCATTTTGGTAAATATTTCATTTAGTGTAAATACAGATCCATTTCAAACTGCAAACATATGCAAAGGCAGGTAAGGCTTATTTCAAACATGTCACAACAAAAAGAGCTGCTGCATTTTTCAAGTGAATCTGCCTCCTGCCCACATCTGGAGGCTAAAAGGGAGGAGAGAGAAGAGGGTGAACATTTTTCTCCAATGATTGTGACTAAATCACTGAATAACTACTTTTTTGCTCTTTACAGCAGTGTTTTAATATGCAGTGTGATTCACATGCTGCACTATGAAGAGAAGAGTGCTCCAACCCAAATAGCTAGGAACAGAAAATAGATATATTAATCTTTACCCCTGTATTTAAATAAGAGGATTTGTGGAGCACAGCAGGAAAAACTGAGGCATTGGTTCGCTTTGAGCTAAACCCTTACTCTTTGCTCTCTAGCCATATGATTCATTGGGCTAACACATTATGATGCATTAGTTTGACTGTGTTAATTCCTTTGAAATATGTTTCAACCCATGGTACTTCCATAAGCACAAAATGGTTGATTTAGCTTGACGTGCTTATGTGTTGTTGGAAAGATAGGATGTTTCCTATTTGACTTTCTAGCGGTCACTAATCACATACTTCAGATTTCTTGTCTAAGCTGTTAATAAAAGCTTATGAACTTCTGACTTGTGTGATTGCAGTCAGGAAGTGCCCTTTTTAAACACAGAAGGTGCTTGCTTTTGTCATGCCAGAAGATGGAGGAACTTCCTCTGATTCCCTCCATTGGTAATTTTTATCTTTGCTTTGCTTGCTGCTTACGGCTGCCTTCGTCAAAGGGTGCTGTACAGACCATTTGCGGGATGGTAATGAGCACTCGGCGCTGTTGGTGGCTGCTGGAAACAGCTCTTAACAGCTTCCTTGCTGCCCATCGTTGGCAGGTGAGTCCAACTCATCTGGAAGGGACTATAAATGAGAGGGATGCAGTAGTTACAGGCAGTGGGCGGGGGGACTGCCCCGTGCTAATGCTGCAAACTGCTGCATGGCTGTGCAGGGCTACAGATTTTGGGGAGTTTGTGGCCTTCTTCACCATGCTAGATCTGATTGTCCACACTCTCTTCTCCTTCCCCCACCCCAGCATTTCATTTCTATGTAGCTGTTCATAAACACATCAATCCCTGACTTGGGGAGTGAAATCTCCCTTTGTGATGGGGATCATCTGTCGTCCCTCAGCACAGCTTCCTCAGGGTCCTCCTCTCCCACCTATAAAGCACACGAGAGTCCTGCCCTTCACTGTGGTTAAAACCTTACCGAAATCTATAGGACTCCTTTTCAGTAAAACACTAGTTTTTACCAAAGGCAACAAGTAAAAGTTCTCATTGAGCTCCAAAGACCCCAAAGAGCTTTGCCCAAAGCCCATGAGTTTGGTTTTCATCAATGCCATCAACAACCAGAAGACAAAAGATGGAGGAAGGGATACATGCTGTTTCCTTCAGTACTCTGTAATTCATGTGCATATTCAACTTTATTTTCCTTACTTTAGAACAATTCTTTCCCTCAACTGGGGCAACTGCTGATTTCTCTTGCTGCTTTTCTAATGAGCCTCTTCTAGATTATCTCCATATTCCCAGAGGGCTTGTACCTGCATCTCCCAGGAGCAGAGCTGCTGCCTCTGTGCTCTTCAGGTGGGACAGGACTGTTTGCACAACTAAAAATGCCGTTGTTTCTCACATGGACATTGCTTATATCAAATTTGCTGCCCTCTGTTATAACCTAGGCACTGTAAGAGCTATTTCTTGTCAGCATACATGTTTGCTGTTGTTTTTTGCTAAATACATTGCATTTTGCTCTTCTAAGAGGTATCTCACTATCCAGTCCTGTACAAAGCCAGAAAGAAGCTGGTGTCCTGCCTGTGTGCCCCCCTCACAGGGCAGTGCAGTGCTGTAGAGCAGCTCAGATACAGACTTTTCCCTCTATCAGAAGGTACTGTACAGCACAGCACCAGGACCAACAGCCCAGCTTGTTAGTATGAAACTCCCAGCAAAGCTTAGAAGGTGAAATCCTGTAGTCACCAGAGTCTTTTTACCAGTAACCAGCAGACTCAGGATATCATCCCCCACCCTTTCCAGCAGTGCAAGACGGGGTCCTGCTGGCCTGGTGCTTTGCTCGGCATATTCAGTTCAGGGTTGAAATCAATCATTTGGCTTTACATTCAGTTTTAGTCCTTCTGTGAGGTTTCCTGGAAAACATTAGACAAGCAGATAATGCCTATGTGATTTGTAACCCAGAAGAGGAACTGCCACATCTTTCTCATGGGAATGGGAGAGCATTGCTGCTGCAGAGGACACCTCCCTACCTCTCCCTGTGGGTACAAGAACCTGGGGAGGAGGGGGTACCAAGGGAATAACTTCCAGTCTGCAAAATACAAATAATATCCAGTCTGCAGGCCCTTGCTTAGATCTGCTCCCTGCCGCTAGCGAGGCGTCGCAGGCTCTGCAGAGCCGGTGCTATGCTCAGGACTCCCAGCTCGGACTTGTTGCTGTTTTCCTTTGGCACCTCACACCATTATGATATATTACAGCTGGACTCCAGATGTATCAAACTGTAAGATCTCACTTTAAGTATTCCCTGAAGATGTACACAGCTTTTCCAATTTTTTAATACTAATAAAAGGATTAGCATCATTATTTATTTGGTTGATATTTTCTCCCTGATGCACACGTCTGAGCTGACACACATAAACAGGCCAGGATTTTTTTCTCTTGTGAGTGAGGCAGCATTAACAATGTTCTTACTCCCTACTCCCATGAGCGGTTTAAGCAAGAAGTATCTCATTTAATTGAAGCTTTATTTAAGATACAAACTTCAAAAGGTTTTCTACTACCTTAATGTGGTCAGCTGTGCTTTTCTGTTGATTGGACCAAGATGATGGAGAGCATGGGGTGGAATAGGCAGACCTAAAAGGGACATGACATGGATTTAAGAGGGGAGGGACCAACACCAAAGTGCGTAACAAGAAAGGCATGAGCAAGACATTGGGAAGGTTGACATGGGAAGAGGTTTCAGCATAGAAAATCACAAGCTGTTCTGGGCTGGAGCAGAGCACTGGTTTGGGCAGGGCATACTAATCAAGATGTTGCTTCATAAGTGAAAACACATGCAGGACCCCTCTCCCAGCAGGTAGCCCTAAGCTATGTCCCCTGTGATGTGCTGATGTGAAGCAACTGAGCCTGCTCGCCCCTGCAAGATGGGAGGTGGATGGCAGTGGTACTCCTGGGGATCCTTGCTGTTGTGGCTGCAAGGTAAGGCCCTGCTCTGACCAGGGATTTAATTTTTAACTTTCTTGTCCAGAAAGATAAAGACGTGAGCAGATCCTGCATTCTTGTTTGTTTGTGTAGACTTCTTTGCGGGTTGCAGCTTTCTTGGTGCCCCTCCAGGTGTGAGACGGTTGTCTGGTCAGGGAGCTGAATAGAAACTTTTCCCATTAGGACCAAACTTGGTAGAAATGAGGTGGTTTTTTTTGTTTTCATCTTCCTTGCAGTATTATGGAAGTGCAGCTGGCTTTGTAAGTGCAAGAGAAAGAAAGTAGTCCTTGGTGGTTTGCAGGAATTCTCACTGCAGCAGTCTTTAGTTGTTGGCCAGCACAGACTCAAGATCAGGTCAGAAGCAAACATTTCGGTGTCTTTGACCTGTAGATTTTTGTCTGAGGGAAGATGTGACCTTTCTGCTGAGGTTCTTGCCTTTGGTGTCCCCTTCAACAGGAAGGATTAAGAACAGATGCCAAAATACAATTCAAATGTTTTCCTTGAGC